ATACTTCCAACAAGATGCATCCGTTAGATGTCTCTGTTATTTTTTCGTTCAAATCATTATACATTACAAACATGGCTTTTAGAACACCCTGGGATACCCGTTTCTATTTTTGATATAGCTGGCTGTGTTAATAATGCATTAGAAAAATTGATGACGCCAGCTAATGTAAAATCCGGATTTTGAAAAACTGGGATTTATCCTTTCGTTAAATTCATATTTACAGATGACGACTTCGCAATTAGTAGCGTAACTGCTAGAAATGTGGATCAAAACAATGAAAAAGCCCGACCACATATAGATCCCAATCAAGCATCAACATCAAGCTGTATTGAAGAAAATATTATGTCAGTCTCCTCACTTTCAGCATCAGTTAATTCACAAACAACTCCCACACAAAATCAAAATACAGAAACTTTCGTGAGTCCGCAAGAATTCAAAGGATACACAAAAGCTGAAGAACGAAAGAATCAGAGAAAGAAGAGAGAAAAAGGTAAAAGTATTATCGCCACCGACACTCCAAAGAAAAAAGCCCTGGAAACTAAACAGATAGAGAGAGAAAAAAAAAGCTTGAAGAAGAAAAATATCATGAAAAGAAAAGTAGGATTCGATGAAGACTAAACAGACGAAGAAAATGAGAACGCGGCGATGCTTGTAACTGTAACTGTAACCTCTTCCAGATAAGCTTAATAAAGAGCCAGAAGTTGCCGATTTCATTTTGATAGAATTCATAGACAAAAGGAAAAACATTTATTACATAGCTGAAGTATTATGTGAAAGAGATAAGAAATGTGAAGTTGAATTTCTGAGAAATTCCGTTAAGTATGATAACAGCTTCATTTACCCCGAAATAGAAGACGTCTCTTTGGTATGCTTGGAAAACATTAGGATGGTGTTACCAAAATCATCACACGTGGGAACAACAAAACGGCAACAATCAAATTTGAAGTTAATTTTTCAGCCTCAGAAGTTCGTTAAAACAGTACTGACACTTCTGTATTATTGTGGAACATACCGTGTCTAGATGTGGAACATGTATGTTCCACAATCAGACAACTGTCCTTTCATTTTTAAACAAACTTTTTTTTAATTATTTTTTTGGTTAATGATATATGTACCACCATAGAACCTTATGAACAGCCTTAATTTGTATAAGTGACAATCATATTTTCGTTTGCTCAATAAAAAAGGTTAATATTTAGCAAAACCTATTTTGTGTCTGATTGTGGAACACTCTCCCCTAATCAAAATGTAATTGAAAGGTTCACAACGTATCTATGACCCTAAGAGTCTTCATGAAGAAATAAATCGCCAAAAATGTCTTCAAAGGAACTGAGTACAGCGAAGGAGAATTCGAAAGTAACCCTAACTAGACTGGTCGAAGGAAAAGCTTACCTTTTCTGTGTTGAAAATTTAACAGACTGAATTGGGAGAATCTCACAGAAACACGACGTGAAACCAATATTCAGGTCAAAAAATACTATCAGATAAAGTCTAAGGTCAGCTTAGAGACCTCGGAGATCTCAGAGAACCTTCAGCAATACCCGGGGTATACATTCCTTGTAGCTGCTTGTTGGTTCACATCAGAATCAGGAGAAGAAATGTAGGTACCCGTCTATCTGAACACAAGAGAAAGTATCGACTCGAACAAATCGACAAATCAGCTGTAGCCGAGCATGCTCTCAACAAAGAAGGCACTGACTCAGTCGGAGAAACAGTTCTACTCGATACAACTTACAAATCCTATCCAAGAGTATACAGAGAGGCAATAGAAATTCAGTAGAGAAGAAAAGGGAATGGAAATCGATGAAATCTGGCTACCTGTCCCTGAAGACACCCAAACAAAGGCACTAATTGTAATATAAAATCAAATTCAAGTACCAGTTTCGTAGTTAATGTAATCGGAACAACGGAAACAACAACTTCAGCACCAACTGCGACCATAACTACATTGCCTTCGATAATGTCTATCGCAGTAGTAGACGAAACGCCAGACATAATCTGCAGACCACGACCAAAAAACCAGAAAAAAGCTTTCACACAGTTATCTCCGGCCGTGAAAGTTCACATTCATTATTTGTTTTGTTGCCACCTTTTTGTTAGTCAGCAAGACTATATCAGCAATAATAAATGTTACCCTCTCTGAACGATTTAAATTATCCGAATTTGCCTCCATCGTTCCGAATCAAATTGAAAAAAGCATATCGGAATCTTCTGAAATATCTTTGAAATTTTAAATCACAGAGAAGTGAACCACAACTGAAACGCTAACAGTTATTATCATAACAAATACAAACATCGCCGTGCCAACGTCAAACAGTGTGCATTTCACACGCTCCAATCGTATCAGTTATGATAATGTCAGTCAAGTGCTCTTGACAGGTTGCGCTTTCTGGTATAATAGCAGCACGAGGTAATTACGCAGTGCTGAATTTGTTTGTTCCCTTTTGGGCTCAACCCGGATATAATCAACAATGATGATGATGAGAAATACGTTTTCGACCATTCACTGTACTAGCAGTGGCATACATGAATGTATATGGACACTGGCGGGCAAAACAATTGTGAGGATGGCTGTTCTATATCTTTCAGAAGGAAACCACATAGTGGCTCAACAACATAGAAAAAACCTTGGAGAATGTTACGTTATTTTCAGAAAATTTGTTGGACGAGTCAAAACAAAAAAAAGCGTAGTGGAGAAAATTAGCAGAAGAGGAAACACAATTTACATTGCATTATAGTTTGTATCTGACAGTGATTTTCATGCATGATCTACATACACATTTTTGTGAACAGTTTATTTTTAAATCGATTGCTGTATTTCTTCCTTTACACATCTTTTTATGAAAAGATTGACACGTGATTCATTAAAAACCATTTTAAAATTTCAAGCAATCGTGAAAATCTCGAACGATTTTCATTAAGTTTCATTTCATTGATTCTTAATAAATTGCAGATGAGATACGGTTTTAGACGATTAGATTATAGTTCCAGAACAAGCACTTTTCCCAATCACCAGAAACGCAATACTCTTTTCGATGCACGTTTCACCAACCAAGTTATCGTCTTTAGTAGATGAAAAAAACTAATTCCTAAGTCTAAAACTCTAAATTCATATCCAACACGTATCAATTCGCATCAATGATTTCAGCTTGAAATTTTCTCATGAAAGTTTTCACAAATTTCAACAAAATGCGATACATATTGGTATACATTTGCGAGAAATTCTCTCATAAAATGAAGTGATCCATAAGAAAAAAATACAATGAGCTGTTTGGAATGATACTTTTGTCAACGTTCATAGTTCTCATGCCACACTTTGCAATTTCAACAGTGTCAGATAGTTTTCAATTATTCTACGGCCGTTCTCCAAAGAATGTTGAGCGACACTAGATTTTTCTGGTCTTCGGAATCAGATTAGTGCTTCGTGTTCTTTGAAACGAGTTTGAATGACTCGCTTATTCTGACCGATATATTTCTTGTCGCAGTCTCTACGGCTCATTTCATATACCATTCAAGGTGTATTTTTCTTTCGTATAAACTAAGACCCAAAATGGATTAGGTCGTATTTTTTAAAAATCGAACGAAAAAGTAGCCTTAAAAATTTTTTGATCACTTCAACAAATATTAGATAACCCCGAAGACAAGATGTTGGAAAATGAAAAGTCAGGGATACATGAAATTAGTTGTGAGGACTGTGACAAAAAATATATCGATCAGACTAAGCAAGCCGTTGAAACTCGTTTCTATGTGCACATCACATATCTGATTTCGATGACCAGAAAAATCAAATGTCTCTGAATACGCCACAGAATGAATGAATACTGTCTGAAATCGTTGAGATCGATACATGACACTATATCTTTAGAGGCTTTCTCAAGTCTAGAAATAACAAAGTGCGGTATAAAAACTATGGACAGTAACAAAGGTCTTATTCCAAACAGCCCATTTCATTTCTTTTTATGAATTACTGTGATTCACGAAAAAAATTCTCGCAAATTTCTTCCCGATATCTTGATGTGTTTGTTGAAATTTGCAGGAACTTTCACGAGACAATTGTAAGAGTGTGTGCTGTCAGATATGAATTGAGAGTTTCAGATTTAAGAATTGATTTTCTTTATCTTCTGGAGACGCCAACTCGGTTGGATAAACGCGCGTATAGCATTTCTGGTGATTGGTAAAAGTGGTTGTTTTCGATTTATTTGACGACACAGTTTCACCTTTTATTTATCATAGTGTGTCTGTAGGTTGACAAAAATACAGTTATTGTTCAACATATGTACGATTCCGCTCGCCTAGTGCAAAAAAAGCATGCTAGTTTCGCATTTATTTCTTTTCAGTGTGACATGGTAAATATTGTTCTTTGGCACGGAAAATCATTCTTGTTCAGATGTATATAGCGTTCAATGGCAACTTTCTTAAAAAAATGTCATTTGAAGTCAGGTTGGTTTTCCGTTATTTCATTTCTGCCATAAAAAATGGTCCATTTTCTGAAATGAAAATTGACGATTTCATTCACCATTCAACGACTGACAGAAAGATGTAGTGTGTGGAACATGATCAGCTGAATTTGAACAATTTGAAGTATCTTGACAACAATATAAAGGATAATTGAAAATATTACCAATCAAGAACTTTGAATCACTAAAGATCTGTGTGAGATATTTATCTCCAGACTCATTTCAAAAGAATGTAACGTGTGCGACCTATTTGAATATGCCTATTTGAATGAGGTAAATTCAGGAGATATTCGAAGAAAACCGAAATTCTTTACTTTCGTTTCAATTTTCTACTGATTTCATTCGATTTGAAAAGCTATTAACAAACAAAAACCACTTTCTCATTGCCACTTTTCAAAGCGTACAACATGGCGTTCACAGATATCAATCTGATATTTCGACAATTCCGCCAATTTCAGATTCTTATACCTGTGAACCGGAAAAAATCACCCAGTATGAATCAGTCAATTTCTGTGAATCATTATTGTAATCATTTCTTTACAGATGCTGAAACTTGATATCGCAGCGATAGTTTGGATGTTTGTGTGGGGAATAGCATCCCTTTGTCTACCTGTTGCTGTTTTCATCAATATATGTTGTTCAAAAAATATTCGACGATTGGACGAAGAATATTCCATTGGACCAGTCAGCAATGGAGAGAGATGGACCGGTCGAGCTTTAGGAATATCATTACATGTGCTGCTTGTACTGTTGCTGTGAGTGAAAACATTATTATATAATGAAAATTTGAGAAAAACATTTCTACAACTAATTGTTTCTATGCAGGACTAGAAAGATATGTGTGAGTTGGTTTCAATTTTGTATAATCATTATTCACCAGAAATTATGTGATGATATATAAGTTAATTGATTGTCTTCAATATCCACATAATCACTAATTTTCAGGATATACCGTATGTTCACTCAGTGTTTGATGGGATGGCTATAAATCTATCATATACATAATTTAATAATAATAATAATAATTCCTTATTTCCAGTAGGACAATAAAATTGTGTAGGAAGTGTCAATACAATACAAATTCCAAAAAAAAGGAAAGAAAAGAGGAAGACAGGCTCATGCTCTGAAACTAAAATGACTGTGCATTATTCAAAGAATTCCTGCAAAGCATAAAAACATTTTTCTAATAAATATTTTTTCAATGATTTTTTGAACAGAGAAAAACTATTCAAGGCCTTTGAATAACTGGAAGGTGATTATATATCTTTGGACGTATGTATTCTGGTCCACATGATGTTACTTTGAATCTAGCTAATGGCAAGTGAAAACCGTTCTTGGTTCTAGTATCATGTTGGTGAAGTTTCAGATTTGTTGTAAATCTTGATTTATTTCTGAACACATACATACACAGTTCAAAAATATAAACTGATGTTGAAGTTAAAACACCGTACTAATTGAAAAGTTCCTTGCATGATTTTCTATTAGAAAAATTTGCTATGCACTTCAGAATTCGCTTTTGTGTTATAAAAACATTTCATGCTGTGGTGGAACCACCCCAGAAACAGACACCATAACTAAATCTTGATTCTACTTAAGCATAATATATATTTAGCAGCTGACTCTTTGTTAAACCTGTTCGTAAATTGATGAAGAGAAACTTCAATAAATTTAGTTTTGATATTAATTGTTGACAGTGGCCTTTCCAATTGAGGAACTCACCTGAAATGATTCCCAAGAACCTTACATTGTGATCAGTATTTGTTAGGGTCACATTGTTCACCGTGAAATGTATGGTTTCCACTCTGTTTTGCCAGTTGTGAATACGAAACACATCTGTTTTGTCTGCATTGAAAAATAAATCGTTGTTATTGAAATAATTTGATATTCGCCTTATTATTCTGGCACAATTGTTGTATCTGGTGCAGATATAACTAGCGAAAAGTCAACTGCATGAGCGGTATAATGACCTTCGCTAACTACTAATTCAATGTTATTTACATAGAGTACAAACAATAGAGGACCCATTATTGAACCCTGTGGCATTCCCATACTTAGATTCAGATATTCAGAATTGAATCTATAGATTAAATTTTTTCTCTTAACTTGAACTGACACATATTGTTTTCTATTTTCCAGAAATGATGTCAGCAAACTGAGAGAAACCCCTCTTATACCATACATTTCTAATTTTGAAATAAGTTTTTTATGAATAACGCAGTCAAATGCTCTACTCAAATCACAAAGAATCACGTCTGGGCATTCTCCTCCTCTTACATTTTCTAGGATTTTGTTTAATAATGAAAACATTGCTGTATTTATTGATTTTTAGGAACGAAATACATGTTGCATTTGACTTAATATGGAATGTTTATTTAAAAATGAACAGAGGCGTGCAAGAAAAGCGTATTCAAAAACTTCAGACAATCCACAGGGAACCGTAATAGGGCGATAATTTTCCATTGATGTTGGATCCTTTTTTTTTTAAATGGGTATAATTTTTCCAATTTTTAAATTATATGGAAAAACACCTACTGTAAATGACAAGTTAATTAAATGCGTCAAAGGCGCAATAATTACAGGAAGAACTCTTTCTAATATGAACATAGGTATTTCATCTGGACCTAATGGTTTTTAATTTTTTAGTTTGTTATTTAATAGAATAAACAATTCGTCAATTCAACTTGAGTTAAAATGAAATTTGAGGCCTTCTGAAGACGAACGAAAAGAAACCCAAAATCAGCTCCTTAAAAAAATTTGAGATGAACTATTGGTACGATGTGAAAATAACATTGACAAGATTAATTGATTTGATAATTGAACTGATTGAGCCAAATTTAACGTCTATGGGAAAATTCGTTGAATTCGTTGAATTCAAGAAGATTGGAGTTCATACGGAGATGTGAAAGTAACGACACTGAGTTACACTTCTGTCAATTATGTTTGGAAATATATAAAAAACCTTAATATACCTGAATGAAGCAACATTCATCATCAGGTACCACTTTGGATTTTTATGAATTTTGTTTTTGAGATTTTGACATGACTAAAAATTGTTTTCTATTCAAATTTTTTGTTTGAAACCCAACTTTGCTGATCATTCATCATCTAGACGACCAATTCATTTGGATTATTTATTCATTTATTCATTTATTCTCATACAGGTGTAACCTAATTACATGAGAAAATCGTTATATATGTATCGTAAATTCATAGCCAGTATACAATAAAAAAAACTTAAGCTATATATATGTAATGAAAAAAAATAAAATAGCAACTAATCCAGAAATATGACAGAGAAGCTATTGAGATAATTATTATGAATTTTGTAACATATTGCGATTATTATTCTATTCTCTAAACTCGAGATTTCAAATCTTTCCTGAGATCATTAGTTCTCACAGTATCATAATCTGGGTAGACTTCATATTTTTCAGAATATAAATGCCGCAGTTATCTATTTTGAATTTTTTCCAAATTATTTTTATATATAAAATGATACGGGGGCCAAACGGCTGCACAATATTCGAGTTTGGGTCTCACCAGAGCGTTATATATCCTAATGACTGTTTGGTGATTTCTAAAATGTTTACTTTGCCTCAAAACAAAACCCAAACTCCGTAAACCCTGAGAGACTACTATTTCTATGTGTTTTTTGAATGACAGGGTTGAGTCATATCGTACCCCCAAATCTTTAACATTACTTACTCGTGCCAAAGTGATATTTTCCATTTCATATGCATACTCTATTTTATCTTTCTTTCTTTTGCAAGTCATTACAGTACATTTTGAGGTATTAAATGGTAACTTATTTTTCACACTCCATAGGTAAACATTTTCAATATCCTTTTGCAGCTTACTACAATCTTGAACACAATCTATTTTTCTATAAAATTCAAGGTCATTCGCAAAGAGTAAATAATTTGAATATTTAATTTCCGCTGATAGATCATTAATAAAAATGAGAAACAATAGAGGCCCCAGATTTGATCCTTGGGGCACTCCCGATTTTGACTGGTACTCATCTGAATAGTTGGTACCAAATTTCACTCTGAACGTTCTCTCATTTAATTATGATGCTAAAAATTTCATAGTTCCTTCAGTAGCTCCACATAGAGAAAGTTTATTCAACAATACATCATGATTTACTTTGTCGAACGCTTTTTGGAAATCTGTGTATATCACGTCGAACCGCATTTGGCGGGATTTTCCCTTTCAGTTGGTGTCAACATAGTTTTTACGTGGGTGTTGCAGACATTTCCAGCAGAAGAATGTTTCCTGGCAGTAAGTATATCAATAACATCAACTATATATGATATTTTGAATGACTATTTCAATGAACTGAAAGATGAAATCATGTTTCAATGTGTTGCTATCAGTGTCTGGGTCAATTTGTTTTTTTAGGGTTAGATTTTTCGACATATTTGTATGCCATCACAATTGTGTACCCCAGGAGTGTACTTCTACAAGTGTATTGATTTCAATTAGAACTTTCGAGTGTATTTGATAAGAACACTGAATCGCATTACGTTCATTTTTCTTTTTTCAGATAAAATTCGAAAAATCGACATTTCCAAATTAGAAAATGATCCCGAAAAAAATCTATGATTTATTGGATGAGATAGGATCTGATCTAGAAATCGATTCAGATGGAGATGAAGAGTGGGAAGCAACAGAACATGAACAAACTGATCGAGCAGAAGGAATGGATGTGGAACAGGAGAAAGAATCCTCGGATGAGGATCAAGAATACGATGATGAGGATAATATTCCTATGAGCCATTTTTTGCTCTGGTAAAAATCATCTCAATTCCTCTCAAAATCATTTCCAGATGATAAAATAGAAGAAAATTACACTGTTAACATTTTATCGCCCATGAGGTATTTGGAAAAATATTTGCCAGAACAATTTTATGAAATTGGGGCTTTTAATACTGCTCTTTACTATTTACAACACAACAGAGAACTGAAGCCAATGGTCACCCCCGAAGAAATAACAATTTTCTTTGGAATGCATGCACTGATGGGTTGCATCAAATTTCCAAGGTTGCACGTGTATTGGAGTACTAAGTTGGAATTTTCAATGATTGCTAATGCTATGACAAGGGATAGGTTCTATTTGCTAAGGGTCCATTTTCATGTTGTCCATTCATTGGGTTTCACAGAGGAACAAAGGAAGAAAAATAAATTATGGAAAGTACAGCCAATGATCGATTTTGTCAGAAATCGGTGTCGGGAAATAACGCATAGGGAAAATAGTTGTTTCTCAATCGATGAGCAAATGATTCCATTCACAGGAAGATGCAGTATACGACAGTATGTGAAAAATAAACCTAGACCTGTTAGTCTAAAGAATTTTGTAATGACCACTTCCGACGGGATAGTATTGGATTTTGAAATTTACCAAGGAGAAACCACACCTTTTCCAAATAATACATTGGGGTTGGGACCCGCTGTTGTTTTGCGATTAGTAGAAACATTACCAAAAGGTAGTTCTGTGATTTCTGATCGCTATTTCACTAGCACTCCTCTACTGGAAGCGTTGTCAGACTCAGGATTAGATGGTACAGGTACACTCAACTCAAACCGATTCAAAGGACACAAATTTACACCAGACAAATCCCTAAAGCGTGGTGAATGTGAAGAAGTATTACGAAGTGATGAAAAAATATGTGTAACGAAATGGAAAGACAATAAGACTGTTCTAATGGCTTCAACTGCTTTTGGCGTCGGAACAGAGCTTCAGGTGCAGAGATGG